AGAGTGTATCATCGAAATTTTCTGCTAAACCAACATTTCAAGATAGTAGTCTGAGTTAATCAAATAATACATTACAGCATCAGATATAAGAAAAAAAGCGATAATGTAAAATTCTTTGAATTTAGTTAATTTTTTTCGATCCTCGCAATGATGGTTGAATAAACATGTTTATTAAACCAATTGATTTAAATGCACAATGAAAGCTGTAATCAAAAACCATTATTACCAGATATCGGTTTGCATTACAGGATATTAAAAATTTAAATATACGATATCAAGAAGGTGTTATCATTTAAAAATGAACAAGAAATAAAAAATGTATTACGTTATCTAAAAAATATATTTTTTTACCTGATAAATGTGTAATATTTACAATGTATTCGGATAGTCGAGTGCACGAGACTATTTGCGTCATGTTTTATACGTGTAATATTATGTAATTATTATTTTAAGTATATATTACGAAAATTGTCAAAATACGCGGAATTTGGACGTTATATATAATATTAATTAGAATTGCAAATCATAAAATAATAATAAACAACAAATTTGTATCGACATGTTGAGTTTATGATAACTATACGTACAAAATCTATACATGTATAAAAATTCAGTGAAATTATATGTATATGCGCGTTTTTAAAGTCTATTCAGATTGTTTAGAATGTGGTAACGTTAGCAACTTATATCGTAAAACAGAAATGTAATTTCTATGTATTTGTATGTGAGAGAGATAGAGAGAGAAAATGAAATTTTGTGCGTGCGAAGAAATGTGAGAGATAGAAAGAGAAGAATAAAAGACAGCGAAAAAGAAGTAAAAGAAGACACAGGACGCAAGAGGATGGAAGACGAAACACTTGAGTCGCATTTTGCAGAGACTCCATGTATAGCGATATATACAATGTACAATATATGTTATGTACAACGAAAGCCACCTGCAGCGTAAGCTGCAAAATGTGTGCGAGCAATCAATCTCCTGTTACTTTCCACTTGATTAGTTTATTCCTTGTGTATAAGTGCCTATATATTTTTAGATTTATATACGAGAGTTAAGCGTAACTTTGTAAATTATATATTAAGAAAGATGAAATAAAAGAAAGTTTCTCTCGAAGACGCATTGCTAACGAGTATACGTATAACATATTCATATCAATATATGAACGTTTTAAAATATTACATTAAGAACTGCGACTTACAACTGCGCAACTACATTCATATAAAAAAAGACAGTATTTGTTTAATGAAAAATCTATTGCTTAAACAAAACAGAATTAATAATGCATTTGATTTGTATTACGAATATAATTTAATATAATTTTTAACTTTCTGAATGTTGTAATATTATCGCTATAGACTTACATTTTTTGTTTCATGTAATGGAATTTATCCGGAGGCGTCGCGCTTATGTTTACATTCTGTTGTCTTATTGTCTATCCTTGTCTATTATTTACATTTCTCTCTTTTTCTTACATCAAATATTCTCGAAGTCACGCTTATGCTTTCTGTTGTTTATCCTTGCCTATTATTTACGTTTCTTTCTCTTTCTTACATCAAATATTCTCGAGGTATTGTTTCACAGAGTCAGTCGACAACGAGTCGCGGAATAAATCAGACGTGCCATTCCCTTGTGAAATATAATTAAATCATACAAGTCGTTTTTCTCTTGTGAAATAGTGCTTCAATATTTTTTCAAACTATTGACTAAATAATAAACTAAATAACTTCTATAAATTTTCCTACACAGAATCAACAAGGATTCTCTCTATTATATCAACTTTTTCTTTTTATCTGAACAGTATTATATAAACAAAAATTGTTATAAAATTGCCTAGATAAATTTCTTTCTAGCTCGAGTAAACTTTTCATTTTCGATTTAGTAAATTGCATAAAACTTTTTTGATTAGTTGAAAATTATATAGCAATAAGTTTGTTATTATATAGAATAAAAACAGTTTTAATACTAGTTTCTTTGTAACCAACTTTTGGTTTAACAATAATTCACGCACACATTTTATACAGCGCGTAAAAATGAAAATATCGACTGGAGCACGGAAATCTTTCTTTTCTAAAGAGATGCTGCTAGAGATATGTAACCGACAGTGGCTAACTTATCAACTCTGTCTCTCTCTCAGCCAGTAATCTGAAATTATAAAATAAATTTGTTCAAGATAATTAATAATTTTATAACTAGATTAATACTTGCATTATAAAAATAAGGAAAAAATAATCTATATTTTTATTTTATATAATACAACGATTGTGTTGTATTTATCAGCTGCTAGATTTTTCATTCTGTTTTCTGATGCTCTTGTCAGATAGCGCGGATAGCTTCTACAGACACATAGTATGAACATAAAAATGAGGAAAAAGAGCGAAGAAATGGTCTTGCACAATTTATGTTAGATTCATAAGAAAGTCTAAGGAAAAGACGTACGCGTGAACTCTCAAAGATATAAATATTCATAGTTCCAAAGAATCGTCACAAGCGTCCAAGGTGGTCTAAAGGTGCAAACTT